CCCTCAGGCCCAAGGAGGGTTCATGGCCATGATCTAGACCGCCAGCCAACGGTACGGCCCGCTTTGACATCGACGATGGGCAGCAACAGGCTGCGAGGGTTGCGGTCGCAATGTCCGCAGTCAAGAGCTACTTTCGACGGGTTATTGGCGAAACTGCCGCATTGGGGCGGTTGTAGATGAGGAGATGGGGCTGGCGTGGTGATGGTACCTCGATGCTCGATGGGCGGTAGAGGACGGGTGGTTTCGGCGCCCGGAAGCGGACAGCGAACTGCGGACTGCGGAGGAACCGGAGGCTCTGGGAACCACGGACGCGGTGGTATGTGTATGTACAGCTCAGCAGCACAGCCTCAGGTAGGCACCAACACAGTCAGCACCGGCGCGAGGCCGACGCGACGCGTACTCCTACGCAACACGGGTGGTGCGAGTGATCTCATCCAGAGGCAAGTGCGAGCGGGCCAAAAACACCATGTCGCAGCGACGCAGCCGCATCGAGCGATGGGCGTCGTGGGCGATGGAATTGCAGCGTGATCGCGATGCACAAACGTCGCTATGCTGTGGGCGGGCAGGATTGGCCGTGTGCGGGGGGCTTCAGCAGCCACGATCGAGACCGAGTCGGGCGATCGGCGCGGGCGCGTCTCAGCCTGGTGGTGGCCTAGCAAAGACTTCGGACCCAGCGTCTTGGATGGTTGCCAGACGTGTTCCACAGCCCAGCCACGCGCCAATCAGTCGGCCGCACCGCCCGCCCAGCACGCGGCCTGCGACTGGCCGATCTGCCATCGCTCGATGGCTGTACGAGCATATAGGCGACCGCGATCCCACGTACGCTGTGTGATTCACACCCGCCGTCGTCCTACTCCAGACACATACAAGCCAGACCATGACCGCTGATCACCTCACTCCCGACCTGTTCCCCACTGCTCCCTCCTGCTACTTCAGCATCGTGCCTGCCGTCCACTTCTCCCAGGAAACTCCCTCGCACAGCCCCGTCTCCGACTACCAGCCCTACACACCCTCAGACCCGACCAACCCGCTGCTGGCCTTCCGCCCGGCACCACCTCTCTACATGACGAGCCCCTCGGATGCCTCGCGCCTGCTGCAGCTACAAACACAAGCTGCCCACCGCCCGGCCCCTGAGCCCATCCAGCAACAGCGCACCTCAAGCACCTCCTCTAGCAGCTCCAACAGCTCCACGTCGAGCATGGGCATGGGTTCGCCGTCCACACTGTCCTGCTGCCGCTGCCGCCGCGAGTGCCTCGCGAACATGTACCAGATCGGCACCAACCGCTACTACTGCAGCCACTGCGCACGGATGACTGGCTACAGCGCTGGCTGAAACCCACCCGAGCCTCCAACACGCTCTACACCCTACCGCCTAGTCAACATCTCGACTACCGGCTACCATTATCGCCTCATCACTACTGCACCCATACACAGACATCCGCTGTCAACTCACGCCACGTGAGCCGTTTTGCTTTCCAGCCCCGGCCGTGGAGCTCTGCACGAGCGAGGAACAGGCACCGCACATTGGCCTCTGAGCCAGTCGGTAGCGCACTTTGGCCCTCTCCGGATTTACTCATATCCTGAGGACATTGCGCAGTTGTTGGTGTGGTCAGGCACACCACGAGTTGGAAGTCATGGAGCTGGCCTTCACGTTATTACGCTGCAACAGCTGGCCTGCAGGAGCATTTGACCATATGATACCCATTTGTACAATACACCAGTCGCGCACTGCGCCGACCCACAAATTCGATTTTTTCAACCATGACATTTCCCATATTGCATCGTGATGGTTTATTCGCCGCTTCAATATTGCCCGCCCCTAATCCATTTGCAGAGCAGTGCCATACCGACCAAGGTCCATCAATACACAGGAAAACACGATCCGACGATCTTCGGAAAGCACAAAACCCCCGTGTGCACAGAATCCGTTCCCCGCTAGTCCCGCAATTACCATAGCGCGAACTACCAATCTGAACTTCGCCTGTCGGGCACCAGAAGTGCCCTGTGACTGCTGTCTCGCAAAACCAACATCCGACGCGGATCACGTTAACCACGCCAAACGCAGAGCTTCACGCGTGGTGGCATCATCCAAACAACGTCTCAGGTCAAACATAGCTTGGGGAACGTTTCCCCGGTTACCTTTGTCCTCCGCGGGCACGCTTCCCCCCGCTGTCATCCAGTCGTATGGATTACTTACTCATGCATGGGATTTTACATCTCGACCGCATGCTCAGAGGATCTGCTGTTCTCCTCTTTTTCCGCGTCAGCGCTATTCTGTTTCAAGTAGGGGAGTCGAAGGGGGCGGGATGACATCGCTCGATGGCGTGCGCCAGGCACGATGCAGGGCACGCTGATCTCGACGGCTTTAATTGTGGGTATCGGCTTGTTGGAAATGCGATACTTAGTCGATGCCACGCCAGACGCGTGATGCGCGGACAGTTTGCAATAAACCGTGTACAGTGTTTGGCTTTTTCTCAACTGCTCGCCTTGATAGTGCCGTTGCAGATTAATCAGAAAAAGAGAATACATTGGGGGTCACGGAGTCATAGTTTGGGGATCGAAGATGGTGAACGCGCAAGCAAAAGCACCGTTGGAACGCGTGAAACGGATCAAAGGCCGATGTCTACTGTTGGCTGAAATGACTCTGAAGTTTACTGAACCAACCTGGGAAGGTTCCTGGGCTGTTTGACATGTGCGTGGCTGGGTGATCACTTAGATCCGGTGATAAGGTTCCTTATCCGTATCAGCTTATCGCCAATTGCGAACGCGGAGAGCTTCCATCATCATCCGCGCATTTCCCACGACGCGTATCATCATAGTAAACACATCGTGTGCTCCACAAAACGCCGTTTCGCTTTGCCAATCCCGCTACACTCGCCCAGGGAGTAACTATCTATCCCCAAGGAACAACCATTAGGTCACACTCCCCGTATTTCCGTCTCCAGCGCCACCCCGGCCTTGCTCCTGGTAGCGCCTGTCTTGGCTTGACACAACGCCTCCCACATCGACGATGTCAAGCCCACATCGAAGATCTCCCGTGCGCAATGGGCTTTTGAAGCTTTCTCCCGTACACCGTGCACGCTCCTCCCAGGTCCTTGGTCGTTAAACGTGCGACCCGCGTGCATGATGATGGCCTGTCAGTTTTTCTGTGGAACCGCAATCGGATCGGCATGACATGAGCGATGGTCAACGTAAACATTTGAGTAGATCATATGCGCGGGCAGATTACCCGCATGTCCTTTGCTGGGACATCGACGATGACGTGCAAATCATCATGGTCCGCGGCCCCGCGCGAAAGGGCATCGAACGATGCAAAGGCCAACCGCCAGGATGGACCTACCCGACACATGCCAAAATGCACACGGAGAAAAACTGTCTCCGCTATAACCGTTGCGCGATGAAACCTTGCAGACAACCTGCTTTTTGGCCTAATCGCTCCGTCTAGACCCTTCCTACCCCGGTTGCCGAAAAGACGTAAGCCCCTCCATGCTGCGCTATATAGCAGGCTACTCATGCGTTGTTGCGTGCGATCGGTTTGACACCTGAGGATCACCTTATTTGGCTGACAATACTGACCACGTTGCTACGGAGAGACAGAGTAAACACCGGAGAAACGGCAGAGTGTTCGCATCGGCTCGATGTCGTGCCGCGAGTCGCGATATCGGGAAGCCTATGTGTAATAGGGGAGAAAAGCCCCTACCACACCTCGCCGACACCCAGACCCGGCCCCCGAGAAAAACACACGATGTCACTTTGTGGTGTAGGAGTAGTTGGATCGATCGATGGCGTCAACGTGGCTTGCAATGCCGACATCCAGTACCCCACGCTAACGGTTTTCTCCTTCTGCCGCTTCTCTGTAACACCGGAAGTAAAAGCACACGTGCGTTCCCTCTGCTGCATCGGAGAAAATCGCTGGAGATCGTACTACGCAGAACTTCGGGTGTGCTTTCTTCTCCATCTGTCCCATGCGCTGATAACAGAAGCAACGGCAAAAGCAAGACTAGCAGCGTGACTTGCGCAGGCACCATATTCTAAACATAGCGAAGGGGTAGCCATGACGACCGACGAACTGTAGGGCCATCGTTCCCAAAAGGAGTATGCGCCTATCGACGGCAGCTTAGTTGTTCTTGCGGATGGCTATTTTCCCGACGCATGAGCCTCAACGCTCCGCTTTCGGAGAGGTCAATTATTGGACCCGGCGTTGAGGCACCGCGGAGGCCCTCAGAACTTCTGTATATTCTGCGCCGATGTATCTCTTTGGGGGAATCGATACGTTACTATCCAGAGACAGCTATCGTCTTGGTAGTTGCCCCGTCCAGTTGGAAGGTATCGAACCAGTCCGCATCTCCCTTCACGCTCTTGAGGTCATCTTCAGCGAGGTTGTGGACGGGAATGTGTATTCAGACGACACCACAACTGACTGTCCTCGTGGATCATTAGATAGTCAAACGATTGGTTTCAAAGGTAACCTTCCAAACGATGAAAGTTGGCCTTTATCCAGCTTCGTAGCAACTATTGGACGGTAGGTCAGAATCTATACCAACACTACAACCGTCCTATTCGTAGGACTAGAGGCGTCACTCAATACATCCAACCCAAATCGACCAAGAATGGACTCTTCATGACAAGCGTGTGACGCCGCTGAATGGAACCATCTCTTGTCTGGGTGAAAGTCTGGCGCGCCAGCTTGGAAGCAGGATGTAGTTCCCTGTGCCGTCACCTTTCTGATTGATGCCCGTCCCAGTTCTTTCACCATCGCGAGGTGCCATTCAAATTAGCGTACCCTTGGTAGTTTTAGCACATTCACACTGAAATATTCAAGTGAAACGAGTTCCGCATTCTTCGGCTCAAGCGAGATAATTGATTTCGACGCACAGGTAGCATTGCATGCGCTCTTACAACATGTTGCAGATCCAAGATTTGGTGGATCAAGATCACGATATTCATTTCGCATCTAGATGCATGAATACCCTCATTCTATCATGTCGACAACCCGTAATTTACGGCCACATCATGCCATTGCCATCGAAGTTCATGCCGGTCAGATCAGTCCTGACATCAAGCGGGTAGTCAGCCGCCTTGAGGTCCCTTCTCCAAGACTGCATCCTCTTGCTGTGCGCCCTCTCGGAAACGCTCAGCTCACGCTTCGCCATGCGGGATGCTTTGTAACCACCAAGGTCTCCGGCAATGCAGTGGCTGACACCGCCCCAGGTTGAATCAGCAACAGCCTTCCAGATAGCAGTCACATCAACAGTCATGGCCTTGGTGTACAGAATACGGCAGTCTGAAGGCTCGTAGACGAACTGGAGAGGAGTGTCGGTCTCGTCTCCATCGCGAATACCATCGCGGAAGTTGACGTTAACCGCGTTGTTGGAAGAGCGGATAAAGGGTGTGTCATCGTAGTAGTCACCTAGTTCCGTCTTGTTGAGCTGAGCGCCTTCTTCAGGCGTAGATAGGTTACCGATGGTGAACTGAGCCACAAATTGAATGTAGTCCCACGGATAGTTGTTCGTTCCCTTCACACCGCCCACGGCTTGTGTGATCCCATCACGAGGGCGGCCTCCCAGTGAGATGTACTTGACACCGGCACGCTGACGCATGAGCTCAGAAAAGATGGTGCATGTTGACGCGCAGTATCCATCTGTGACGACGACGATGTCCTCAGCGGCGAAAGGAGCCTGGGTGTAGTTTGAAAGTGGGCCATATCCGTGGATGTAGATACCACCAGAGTTGAGCGGAGTCAGTGTGTCACTGAGGTTCCAGCGGAAGAGGTTGGTGAAGTTGTCCCCCTTTTGCTCGAGGCCAGGGCCAAACTTGTCCTGCCAGCTCTCGAAGTTTTCGCTGTTGACATCAAGATCAGATCGGTAGTTGAAGACGGAGGACACAACATTGCCAACCAGATCCTCCAGTGTTTCGTTCTTGGTTTCAGCCACACGTGGGACACCCGCGGCGGCTTCAGAGAACTTTCGGTTCAAGATCTCAGTGGTTTCGAAGGCGCGGTAGCGGTCGGCAGCCGCGTGGTCAATCTCTTGCGGGAATAGCAGCTTGTACAGATCGTAGCCGAGCAAGATAGTACCTCCGCCGTTGGCTGAAACGTCAATGACGAGCTTCTTCTTTCCGGCGGACTTGGCCTGGGCAAGGAATTTGGCAGCAGTATCTTGGAACGCTTCCTGTGCGTCAATTCCGACGAAGGATGGCACGGAAAGTACAGCGACATCTGAGTAGTCACCCTCGAGGAAGTAGCCACCGATCAAGTTGTGTGCTTCACGAAGGACTGGAGGCGGGTATCCTGGCGCGGGGATGGTGGGAAGAGGCGTAGCGGAGGTAGTGGCTGTGGGTGTAGGTGTAGCCGAGGTGGAGTTGGACGCTTCGGTCTCGCTTCCAGGCTGGTTGCCAGTGAACCAGAGCTTGTAGAGGCTCTCTCCGTCGGTAATACCATCGAAGGGGATCAGCACCTTGGCGAAGTTGTCGTATGTTCGGCTGGTACCGTTTTCAAAAGTAAGCTCGGTAGTAGCACCGGGGTAAATCCAGCGACCGCGGCCCGATCCCGCAAAGGTTCCAATACCAGATCCAACTGGGCCGAGAGACACAGTCGCGAGCTCGTAGAAGACGTTGTTGTACAATGCGTCTCGGTCCTGGAGGGAACCGTACTGAGCCCAGTGCTCCAGGAAGTCCTTGGCGTCCTCGCCATCGATGTGGGTAATGGGCGAAGGCGTGAATGTAGCATTGCCGAAAGACTCGGCCAAGACATCGGCATAGACGTAAGGCCGGGGAAGCTCCTTTCCGTCGCTCGAAACGGAAACGAGTGGTACAGGACGGGCGAAGTTGAAAACCGTGCCGACTACATCGGGGACGTACACAAAGTGACCATCATGGGTGCTTTGCAAGAGGGTGTAGAGCTCGAAACCGAACTGTTCTGAATTAGTTCATACTCTTCATAATGAGCAGAGAGACATCTTACTTCGTACTCGTTCTTGTACTCTCCTCCATTGACCTTTTCCCTGATCTCCTCGAGTCCGCCCCAGATATCAACCGCTGGCTGCACCTTCTCGGCGTATTCAGCTGGAGGGTCTTTCAACCAGACGGTATTACTTTGCCATTTGAAGTATGGGACGACACCGTCTACCAGGGCAAGAGCAGCGCTCTGGTTGAATGGGACGGAGTTGATGCAGTCCCATGCGAGTTCGGCAGGTACAGTTGCGGTACCTGCGGTGACGTTCTTGCCTACAATCGCAGTGCCGACTTGTGCACAGGGACTTGTCGCGTTGTAGTGCCGTGTATGAATGTGAGGTGCAACAGGCGACGATAGCGCAACCGAGGCTAGCGAGAGACCCGCGATGGCATTGAAGAGGGAAGCCATGCTTTCAACCCAGACAACACGACAAGAACTGGAGGCAAAGATCTCAGGTTCGCCGTGCCCTCGCTGCAGTTGCACGAACTCTACCACTTTATAGCTGCACAGCTTGAACCGCGGACCAGGTAGCGAACTTGCGCGTTCCCGAGAAAGAAGACATCATAGCTGCAGGCGCTACCCTGTACTTGTCATTGCTAGACCCATGTAGACCAAGGCAAACGACGGTCGGGCGAATAGGCGAGGCGGATATGATAGGGAACTAGATTAAGAGCATGCATGCACGAATGCTCGAAGAGGAAGGCCGTGGTGTGCTTGGTACTCTGAGCGATTGACGATCGTATCCCGCACGGCATTGGGGGTTCAGGGCAATACAGGTACCCAAGGACCCAGGGTCGCTTTGATGGTAGAGTGCCCACAAATATGGATGCATCTCGGTGCAATGGTAATGAAGCGCTTGTTTCTTACACAACCAGGTAAGAGATTGGACAGTCGGCCGCTGTAACACTGCGCGAAGCTTCGTGGAGTTGTCGAAGCTTCACAAGCCTTGGGCGCTAGCCCGCCTTTCTACGCTAGATTAGGCAGGCGCAAAGTGCGCGGTGCCGATGCGTCCTATCGAGCGTTCGAGCATTCGTCCCCGCTCTTGCGATATCAGCTTCCGAAAGCGCATTGGGTCTACGGGAATCATGACGTACGACGGAGCTGCAGTGCTTTTGTGTGGCTAGTGCTATGCAGTGCCAGTCTTCAGTACGAAGTACATGGGTAGGCACATTTGAGGCTGAACCGGGGGACTGGTAATTACTCCGCAAGATACAACAGGAACACGAGATTGCTGACAGGATCATCCCGCTAAATTTCCGAACACTGACAGCTGTAACATGTAAGACCATACAGCCTTATAGAATGTCTAACTAATCACCATATAGTCCGAAAGCTTACATGCCAGTCGATATAGCTTGCACCGATGCACTTAGCAGACGGCTTGCGCGTTGATTTCGAGATGTGTTGAAGTAGACACGGGCTGAAAAACACCGCAACCCGCCTTTCACACGTTGATGCATGCACGGATGAGTAATCTGATCGAGGCATAATGAAACACGAGATTCCGTCGGACGCGTTCAAGCCATACTCCAACATCCATCTCCTATCGCCAAGGCCAGTTCATGTGATCAAAGGGCAATCACAGACAGAGTATCATGGAACATCAACTCCTGCCAATTCACTGCAGCATTCAAAGCATGCCATGAAAGGACTCAACAGCGAATTATAGAAAGATGCCAATCTTAAACCAGCATTCTCGCTACTACGAGCATTCTTGGGTCAATGAATGGAGGATGACCAGAGCGATGAACCGAAATGGATCGTAAGATGCCAATCATTAGTTCAAGAAAACCATCCATGGCATTGCCCAACATATCAAGACCTTAAGCTATCTATGGCATTAACAAGGCGGTGCACCAGTTGTTCAACAGGCAAGCTGCTTGACATTCACCCTATGTTTGGTGGAAGACCTTTGTCCAGAACAAAGCCTGAGAAGAGAGTGTGAGGGTAACTTCCTTGGCAGAATCATTACCTGAATGCATATATACTGCTATTGTGTCTCTACCTGAGCATTGGCGCCCAGTAGAAGCCACGAAGAAGACTATACTCGATGACAGACTTTCAATCTTCACTCTCAACGCCCGGTATTGTCTTATATATACCTTCGCATTACCTGCGCCCGAACATGTGAAATAGCGGTTTACGTGGTGAACCACATCCTGGTGAACCACATCCCACACGATGGTGTGAAATACGCGCAGTCACACTGTGTGCGAGCGGTGTCCCTTCGTCCACAAAAGGCCGGAAAATCCGTCAATACATTGGATCATTCCTCGCCATACATCGTTGTACAACGCAGTTGAACAGTACCGCACTGTGAGCCAGACCTCCGTCAATATGAACCACCCTCCAGCACGGTCGCGCGAGCAGTACTTTTTAAGCCACGTCAAGCCGTCGCCCCCTTCAGACGATCCGGCATGTCCCATCTGCAGAGATCCCTGGAGTCCCGATACGTATACCATCATTCGGACGATATGCGGCCATGTCTTCCATCGGTCGTGTCTAGATCGATGGCTAAATGAGGAAGACGGTCGGAACACATGTCCAACCTGTCGTGCAGTTTGTTTTCTCCAGCCCCCAGCACAGGAGACCGTGGTTCAAACCGCAGGCCCTAATGTCGACCACGGATTCGATCCAGGGCTTGGGGTTGACTCAGATTATTTGACCAACACTGTCTTTGGTCTCATGGCTACAACGATCCAAGATATGCTTGGGCCGATTACAAGAACCGAAGATATCCGCAGGCAGTTTGGTATTGATCTCGAAGACCCCAATGATCCCCTGCGGTTTCTTCAAGCCATGAAAAACGTCGTCCATGCAGGTGTACTACAGGGTCGATTTCCGCTAAATCTTCAGGAAGGCTGGATGCCCGAACTAAGGCTCAGACTCGGAGACTGGCAGACTATCAAGTTCCTGATAGCGTCACTTTTCATCTCTGCGCATTGGCGACTGATGACCCCATGGCAGTGGGCCGGCGTACTGGCCGAACGAAATCGGATTGGGCGTGCTGCATCTGACTCGGCGGACTTTGGACCTGACAGGGACTCTTGGATAGAGTACATTAACAACCGTTACAATGCGGGGTATGTGATCTCGATTGACGCCTACTTCCCAGGCGCCGGCATGACACGCTGGAAGGAGACTGATACGACGGGCCAAATAGTCAACGAAGATGAGCTGGACTTGGCCATGATCGACACCACTTTGGCGACCAACATCAACGTTCCGGGTACAGATTTCAGTCCGGGCCCTCTGCTGTACTTCCAGGGTAACTCACTCTGGATTTCGGAACGAGTGATGGGCAACATTGTAGAGTTGAGCATCGACAGGACCTCGCGTACTGTATATATGCGTAGCTCCGCAAATCGCGAGTTCAGGGTAGAGTTCCTTACCCATGGGATACAGGAAGACGGTTGTTTGCCACCAGCTACCTAGGTACGACAAACATGATAAGGCGCGGTGGAGGGGTTTTCCGTTTCGGGTTCTGTTGACAAACTTGTGGAAACAAGAGGGGCGGATTCAGGATATGTTGTCACGCGTGGTAAGAGAAAGAGCTCCAGGGCTGTTGTCGCCGACACGCTAAAAGCTGCCCCACCCGCGTGAGAGCTTCCCAGGTTGCGTCGCGTCGCTCATCGCATCTTCACTTCAGGATTTGGCACTCTTGGTTACGCGCAGGGCTATGTGCGCTCTTTCTTGTAGATTTCCTGCCTTTCGCTCATAGAGTCTACACAAACATGCGATAGTCTAAACCCGACGAATCCACCCATTTCTACTTGACGTATAGCGGACCTATCTCTGACACACTGCAACATAGACAAGATGAAATATAGCGGGTAATCCTTCACCTTCCACACACCTGATGTTCGCCCAGAATTAATACTGTAGGCTATATTTCGTCTCCAACCCTTCCACCAACATCGACGCCTCGCTCGCTATCGTCAACACCCTCATCCAAGGCATCGAGACCAGCTTCCCAAACACCACACGACAGCAAACACCATGGTCACTATCATACCGTGCATTTCGCGACACCATACCTCCGGGTTACCAGCCACCTGCGGGTGCAGACGGTAAACAAGAGCCATACGTACATTCATACCAGCACCTCCTCCACCTTTCGAGCCTCTCGCCGAACCGCACATATGTCTTTGCACAACCGCGAGCGCAACAGGAAACTATGACGTCGATACCGCTGCGACAACAAGACGCACATGCCTCAGTATTGCGATACCAATCTTCCGCTCTGTGGACGCCGAGACACATACTCGCGGTGCGAGAGGGGGCATCATATAGCGGGGGCCTCTGTTCGATACAAATCGGCGAACTACGAGCGACTCGCGAAGGTCCGCAGTCAGGCGCTATCTCATCACCCGGCGTCGTGGTCTGCATTAGCACAACGTTGGGCGCTGAGGACACTGATGGCAACCTGGATTCAGGCTATGGCACAATGGAGAATGGTACAGCGATGGAAGTGGACGAAGAGGAAGTCGACATTGAGTATGCGCAGGCTGTGGTGCGCGACTGCTGGAGTAGGATCAAAGATGGGCGCGATCTGGGCCGGTCAGAGATCAGGGAAGTGATGATGGCTTCGACCACAACGAATAAAAAGGGCCAGGAGCAGGAGACGACGGTGCGCATGTGGTGCGATGCTCTGCGCATGCGCGGATGAGCCAGTATTTGCACGACATCATTTATCATCAGATACCAATATGAGAGCTTAAGATGGACATTTGACAACTGTGACGGTACATGCACTCATATAGCGTAGCACGCAAGTGAATCATGGATAGTTTTACAGTTTGATTGACTATATGCCAGGCCTACCCTGCCTAGACACTCATACGACCGTCTAGTCTCATTGCCTCCTACCGAATCCCTAGGTATCCCTACAGGTATCTAAACTACAACAACGTAAAGGGCAAAGAAGGAAAAAAGAAAGCGAAGGTGGTAAGGTCAAGTATTAAGGCAACATCTTGCGCACATTCAGATTACAACACATAGTTGAAGATCGATCCCCAAAGCTTGATCAGCTCGCGCCATAACCCTAGACCGGACATATGCAAAAGGAAATTTCTTGGAAGGCGAAAGAAGGAAGTAGTAATAACCAGCCAGTAGATGAAGGATAAGTATCGCACAATGAAGAAGATACACGACATCCAGGTAAAGCTTACTGCGCACCAACCTCTTCTTCTGCCCAGCCAGGAAGACCACCGTCACCCTGGATGGCAAGACCGTAACCGCCGTTACCGCTGCCGAAACCACCGATGCCGGAGCTTAGGCTACCGAAAGAGCCCTGCTGAGGTGCTTGGGTTTGCTGCATGGAGTGGTTGAAGGGGCCCTGAGTGAAAGCGGGCAGGCTCACAGCGCGAGAGTGTTGACCACGCGAGTTGAGGTTCGAAGGTGCGAGGAGGCCACCAACAGTAGTAGCACCTGAGCCACCAGCTGACGTACCGTTAATCAGACTGAAGCTCGATGTGCTTTGATGGGAGCTATGAGAGTGATGTGGCTGAGGAGTGTTCAGGTCGGCACTGTAGAAAGCAGCTTGCGGCGACTGGAAAGATTGCTGCTGATTCTGCTGCTGCTGTTGCTGCTGCTGTTGTTGTTGCATGCTGGCCTCGACCTGTTGCTGTTGTTGCTGCTGTTGCTGAGCTTGTAGGTACATCATGAGGGGGTTGTTGTTGCCGGAGTTCATGATGTTACCTGAAGCAGGTGCTTGAACGGAAGGGAACTGGCCGTTGGTGCTTTGGCCAGAGCCTGGTGCGCCAGAGCCAGTCGGCGAGACTGAAGCACCAGCACGGTTGGGATGCAGTCCGTTAATAGGCGATGGTGACTGGAGACCATCGCTACCGGCTTGTTGAGCCTGGGCCTGCTGGCTGTTCATCTGGCGAGGAGGGTTACCGCATCGGTCCTTTCCGAAGTTGACCTTGAATCGCTTGTATTCGTCACGGCCACGGATCGCTTCAATTGCCTTAATGGCATTGGCAATGTTGGTGAAGTTGACGAATGCACAGCTCTTCTCGCGCAGGGTGTTGACCAGCTCGATCTCGCCGTACTCCGAGAAATCCTGCCTTAAGCGGTCTTCGGTCCAGGACTCATCTAGGTTGCCAATGTAGACGTTACGTGAGGCACCACCACTGACAGCAAGAGCAATCGCAGGCGGGAGAGCACCGGAGTGCTTACCCCATCCGATCTTCAAGCGACGGTTGTGGATCATAAGTCCCTGAAGATTGCTAAGAGCGTAGAAGGACGCAGCCGACGTCGGGTCGATGAAAGTAACGAAGCAAATGTGCTTATCCGGGATATACCTGATGTGGTGAAGAAGACCACCGCGCACAACATTGCAGATCTCCTCGATGGTGGTTTCGGGATGAATGTTACCTAGGTAAACTGTTCGGTTGCCCAAGTTGTTCACACCACCAGCAGAGGTCGCGACCGCCGCGGCAGCGACAGATTGCTGAGCAAGAGCATTGGAGATCATGTCGCGGTCAGCACCGTTCAGAACATGAGCGTAGCCAGGCGCGATACCCAGGTACTGCGCGGCGTTCTGCTGCTGGGTCTTGGAAACGTAAGCGCATCGATCCTTGCCGTAGTATACGCGCCTAGGCGCTTGCCACTTTGGCTCCTGGGGAAGTTGCGACACAGCCTTGATGGCATTTCCGATGGACAAGAAGTGAACAAACCCAATAGCCTTTTCCCGGACGATCTTGACGGTATCAATGGGACCAAATTTGCTGAGGTCTTCGCGGAGTTCGTCCTCAGAAACATCCTCGGACAAGTTACCTAGGTAGACGTTGCGAGAGGCACCCGATTGCTGCACAGCCAAGGCCACAGATGTGGGGACCTGGGACGGCTTTCCCCATCCAATCTTGATGTCCTGACCCCTGATTGACAGCTTCTTCAGAATGGCGTCAGAGTGGAAGTGAGTGGCGGAGCTGCTATCCAGGAAGGAGATGAATGCGCAGTTCTTGTCTGGGAGAAGCCTGACGGACTCGATTTGACCACTGCGTACATGGCCGAGGATCTCCTCTGCAGAAGTCTCAGGGGGGATGTTGCCCAGGTATACAGTCCTGCTAGTTCCAGATACAAGACCGGGAGCAATCGGCATTGAGGAGCCGAGTCCACCGAGACCCTGCGCGCCGTAACCAGGGAAACCTCCAGTAGGTGACTGGGGTCCACCAAAAAAGCCACTAGTGGGAGAAACCATGTTCTGGTACAGCTGCGGTGAAAGAGGCTGTTGCAAGGGGCTTCCCATCTGGTTGTTCTGGTGGTTCTGTTGCTGAGACTGATTCTGGCCAGCGAACTGTGCGAAGTTCTGAAACTGCGGGGAAGCGAAAGCCGAGGGCGAGCCTGGCTGGAAGGGGCTACCGAGGAGCAACTGCGAAGGGAGCAGAGGGGTGAAGTTCATGTCGAAACCAGTTCCTGGAGTCTGCAAATCGTTGCCGTTCTGGTTGCCAGGGTTGAGTCTGCCGGTATTGATGGACATGTTGTTCGCCCTCTCCGGGTGTCGGTCGCCATAGCCGGGCTGGTTCGTAGCGAAGGCGCCGTGCGAGAAGCCGTGGTGACCGCCGTTCATCTGCCTGTGGAAGCTCGACTGGAGACGAGGACCGCTGGGGGCGTTCGGGGCGCCGTCGTGTTGCTGCATACCGAGGAGGTGCGGAGGCAGACTGAAGCTGTCCCGCGCGTTTTGAGATAGAACCGCCGTGGTGAAGGTGTATTACTGCGTCCGGGACTCGTTGGACCGGACGGCGAAATATGTATGGCAGAAGGTGAAGTTGCAACCGGTTGCAGAGAGGTCGCCGGGCTTGCGAAGATGCTGCTGTATTACAAGATGTAGAGCGTTCTAGAGGGCATTAGTTTGAGCGCAGTGGAGACGCATTGGACAAGACGTACTTCCAAAAGCACAATGGCAACGAGTCGTTTGCAGGTCTAACAATACAAGACACGCTCACAACGCAGGCAATCGGGGCCTAAAGGATGCAGGCACAGAGGTCCAGAAGGGTACTGTCGCAGGCTTGCACGGTGGACGCAGTGGAGGCGCAATTAAATGCCGTGGGCCAGAGCTGCCGAAGAACAAACTCGCGTGGCTTGTTTGAGGATGCGTGCACCAAAAGAGCGAACAATAAGAATGAAGTGCAAAGAAGCAAGCTTTGCCGGGAGCCTCGATGCGGGGAGAAGAGGACAGAATGAACGAAGGGGATCGAAGAAGAGGGATGCGACCTGAAGTCGGAGCGGAGGAGAGAAGAAAGAGGTCGGTGAGAAATGCTAACTAGCAGGGCACATTAGGAGGCAGCCGCAAATGAGGCAGCCCAAAGCGGACAACTAGCGCACCGCCCATTTTAAACGCGCAGGCCACGTCTGAATCGTGCAAACCACCGTCGCCACGAACCGCTGCCCTGCAGTTCTCTGGCCCCGTAGACGCCTGTGCTAGGCGGCGTGGTATTTCGTGCAGCGACGCGCCCCCGTGCCTGGCGTAGACGGCCTTGTGCTACCAACGGCGCAGCTCGGTATCCTCCAGCGACGCGGCCAACGGGTAATTGCAGATATGCACACTTTCCGTCCCTGACTAGACGAGCCGCCTGATAGTGCTGCTCTTAAGACGGGTCCCTTTTTTCCTTTGTCACGCGAACACGAAAGGGTCCAGATCGTATTGCGGCGGCTCCAGTTCCAGGCGTAAGGATAGCCCTTAGTGCCAGCCTGCCCATCGCCGCGTCTCAGCAAGCCGTACTGAGCGTTTCCGTCTGGTCTGGCTCCGGGGTATACTACTGCGAGCGTTCGCCAGGTGTGGAACAAACACGGAGCGCTCCGTCTTCGGGGTATCAGATGTCAAACGCCATTATGCGAAACCTCCACGTGTGTCATGCTTACCCCTGGGGGTTTGCTGACTTCTAGAATGACGTTTGCGTATTCTGCTGTTTCCAAGGTTGACGTGTTCTGTACATACGCGACCACGGATGCTGGATGACAGGGATTATCCATAAGCGAGCACGTGACGCCCAACTACGAGCGACTGGTCAATCTGTGCTTTCCGGCGATCGTGCATCAACCCGCTGTCAATTCTCCCATGGCACAGCTGTCTCCGTCCATTGCGCAGTGCGCCGTCGTGGCCACGGCGCTCAAAGTGCTGCTTTTCCCTGCTTAGTATGTCTTGCTGCACAATTCTGAAGTTTAGTTCCTCGTCCTTGCTGACCATCTCCGGCAGTAAGTCGACCGACTTCGAGGTTCATCGTAACTGGCTTGCTCTAACGCATTCCCTACCCATCAAGGAATGGTATTACGAAGTCAGACAACCATGCCGTCAACGCCACGCAATTGTTCCAATCTAACACACTCCAGAAAACGTCTGAATGGACCTTGGACTATCCGCCGTTCTTCGCTTACTTTGAATGGCTAATGTCTCAAGCTGCACCCTATGTTGATCCTGGCCTGCTCAATGTAAAAGATCTTGGATACAACAGCTGGCAGACCGTATACTTCCAGCGTACTACAGTCGTTTTGACCGAGCTCGTCTTGGTCTACGCTTTGCACCTGTACTTACACACCACCCTACTTGATCTGTCCGTTACTAAATGCTCGCCAGCTATGTGAAGACCTCAAAGTCCAAAGTCACTGCTCACGCCGCTGCACTATCTGTCCTATTGTCACCAGGACTGCTGATAATCGATCACATCC